TATATTATATATATATATATATATATATATAATATATATAATATATATAATATATTTATATATTATATAATATATATATATATATATATAATATATATAATATATTCATGAAAACACTCAAATTTCAAGAAAAACGTGCTAAAATTGTCAATATTACATAAACAAAATTGTTTGGAGAAACATTGGAAAATTTTAACTGCATATATATTAATAATAAAAAACACAGGTCAGCAAAAGATGACATATTTCATGCGGAAGCATCGCCAGTAGCCGACCGTAGAAAATAGTAGAAAATTACCTGATGTGTACTATAAGAACAAAATATGTGTGACGAACGCCAAGACTCCTCCTGGCAGTCCTGCTTTTCCGTGCGTGCGCGCGGTACAATTTGAATATTTAGGTCGATATATGCTGGTGCCACAAGATACCAGACACTGATATTGTACTTTATAGTAAATTATTTCATATTTCATGTATTACAGTAATTTACAGCAGGTACTGAGGTACATTATAAATCTTATAAAGACCTTTCATTGGCATTGCCATTAATTGCCCATTCACGGCTACATTTAAAGGAGTAATCGGCTTGAAATACAGCTTCCTTCGACTTGTATAATACCGCTGTGAGTCATGAATATTTAAATCAACTTTAATCTTTATCGTATACTGTAATGACATTTTAGAATTTTCAGCAAACGATACTGGAGGCAATCAATGGAAACTTTAAAAGGCTTATTAAAACCCATTGATTTAAGTAATTCTATGAGCGAGACTTCCTGTGCGTATACAGTTTATGAATATGTATATAATATATCCCTGATAAAACGTAGGGTTATACCAGATATAATAAAAATACTTTGCTAAACCTTTTCGGCTATCATTCCTTTGTATTCAAGGGGTGAGGTTGAATGGCGATAGAATTATATAGGAGATGCTGTGCAATATTTTGGCTTCGACAAACTTGTACTCGTGCAGACAAAAAAGGAAGTGCATACAGTTGTGAATTGTCGTATCGATCCCAAACAATTAGACCAGCAAGGCGCTACGATCTACACAGTCGCTTTTGAGACCTCTATTTAACAAAATTTATACCGTTTCACCTGCCCGAAATGCTCCCTAAGCGCCTGCGGAGGAGGTAGTACCGTTTCCATATGATAACAATTCAATGGCATATAGTAAAAATACTATAAATATCTGAACCAGAGCCAGAAACGTACGCGTGAAATGAAAATAAGAGAATAAAAGGGAAGTATTTCAAAGCATACAGTGATACGTTTTCGTTGCTTGATTTCCTGACTTGTCTGTTGCTATACGAATCTACAGTTTAGCCGCTTGTATAATTTAAAAGCAAACTGAAACCAGTTTAGCAAGTATTTTGAAGTATATATGGTTCTCAAAGATGATTGTACAGAACGGCCACTCCTTGCAATCGAAGTATGAAGTGCGGAAGTGGAAACATGTAATATGAGACTTTTCTATCCCCCTCTCAGGCTATTAATTTCCTTTGGGTCACGTGACCAGCTCCGACCAGGGTCTTTCCTTCCCCGAAGAAAGAGCCTGGGAACGAGGTTGGTGGGGGTCTCCAGAGAAACGTCCATATGACATTTCTCATGGACAAAATCTATATGTGAGGCTTCCCTTAGGCTATAGGCGATACTATAGCCTATAACTTCCAAAGGCTAAAATTTGCGCGAGGTATTTTTACATTAATTGTTGTTCACTATTGTTGTATTTTTACGAAATTAATGTATTTTACATTAATTGTTGTTCAAAGCATGCGTATATAGTTTGTGATTACGAGTTTGAGCATGAAACTTTTACAATTAAAATTTGCTTAGACTTGCAGATGATGACGAGGGCGCAGCGAAGACAGGTGTCAAGGAGACAACCAGGGAAGTCGCGGTGTACTCCCATCCTACCAATCCTAAGATCAAATTCTGGGATTTACCTGGCATAGGTATGTGAGAGTTGTCGGTATAATACACTAATATAATAAAGATCAACAAGGAATGGACCCACACTTTACCAGACCTTTAGTCAGTGGAAACAAAGTAACTTTAATATTTTGGTGGTTGTGATCGTATTGCTTATCATGGGGGGTAATGATGATGGTGGTGACAGTGATGATGATGCATGGTAATGGTAGTGATGATGATAATTACAGTAATTAAGGTGATGATTAACTACTAATTAACTGCTAATATCTACTACCAATTAACTACTAATAACTACTACCAATTAACTATTACCATTTAACTACTGGAAGTTAATATATGCTATCAAACTAGGGCACAACAAATCATAACATGCTTATTTAATTTCTATGAGTACAATGAATAGCAAATTGTAATCGTATTATGATATACTGTATATATTTGCAAACTTTTACATCCTCAATATTGACTTTGAACTGGTTTACTTAATTAAAAGAACAAATTGTAAATATATTTTCTAGGGGTCTACGCAAAAAAGCCAAATGGTTTAAAATAGACTCCTGGCCCTCTTCTTCCTTAATATTAGTATTTTCATGTAAATAAATAAATTTTATTGGGCAAAATCAAATAAATAAATAATAAATAAATGATGCTCGAGGTAATAGTGCTGATGATGGTGTTCATTGGGGTAATAGTGGTGATGATGGTGGTGATGATAATGGGGATTTTGTAGCGTCTGTGGTCCTAATTGTAGTGGAAAGAATGTTACTAGGGAAGGGTTCATATTATTCTAAAATGAGACAAGGCGAAATTATATTCAGACAACCTAATGTTGCATGAATCGAAAGGTGTAAGGCACGTACACTAGCGACTGTGATATTGCTCTATCGCAACAATTTAATAACATTACGAACTACTGAAAATTGCAGGTACACCAAGTTACCCAGATCTTGAAACCTACTGCGAAAAAGTCAGCTTGGAGAAGTACGACACCTTCCTGCTCTTAACCGCCGGGCGTTTCACCGAAAACGACCTGGCATTAGCCAAAAGGGTGAAATCCTACAAAAAATCGTTCTTCTTTATACGCACCAAAATCGACCAAGACTACCTGAACGAGAAGCGAAAGAAAGCATTTAACCAACAAAAAATGTTGAAGGACATTAGGGACGATTGTTTGGAAAATTTGAAAGGCTTGGAAGAGGACGATGAAATTGTGTTTCTCGTCAGTAATGCTTACCAAAAACGGTGGGATTTTCCTCGTCTTAAGAAAGCTATTCTTGATGTCTTGCCGCTTCGTCAAAAGGAATGTATAACGTTGTCATTGGGCTCATTGACGAGGGAAATGTTGAAAGAAAAAGCTGATCTCCTTCGAGGTAGTTATACAGTAGAATTAAATTTAGAAGGGCATGTGGGGTGTATTTTCCAAAAGGTTAATATATTGTTGCGTCGTACGTTTTGCGTAAATATGTTATATAGATATCCAATAAAACTTAAGCTCGCCGAATTTATGACGAAACTATAGTTCTTCAACCTCCTATCCAGGGTCCTTAATCTGCACTTTCTCAAACAAACCACAAGACGACCAATCTCGTACCCATAGTTCACGGTACGAGATTGCAAGACGACAGGATATCAACACACATCCTCGTTCCCAGGGCCTCACGCGACCTTCATAGGCCCTGCAATACACGGAAACGCAAGAAAACATGCAGTAGTTTCTAAAGCGCATACTCTTAATTAAGGACGCTTCAGCAACCGTGACAATTTTCACAGACAAGTATTACGAAGAAACGAAGTATTTGTCTTGATATATTTTGATTTTCCTAGCGAAAATGGCTAAATTTCTGCGAAATTCCTAGCAATTATCCGACAAGCCAATCAGATCTCTCCTTTTAGTCGTCTAACCCACAGCCTAATTTTCAACGAATGACCGAGTAAAAATGGCTCTGGGGTGAGAATGATCGACACACTGAAACCAAGTCGAACGGGCCAGTCTATTTACATAATCTCAAGTAAAATCCATTTGTTTGGATTTTCAGGCTGGGTTTGGATGGTCGCAACCGCTTCAGCCGTCGTCCCTTTGCCTGGGTTGTCTTTTGCGGTAGACATCCACCTTTTAATAAATGAACTGAATCTTTACAAATCTCAGCTCGGTCTACCCGATTATGATAGTAGTTCACATTAGATAATGCCAAGTTGTTTTCACTCTGTGTTGTTAATATGTTAGTCATACTTAAAGGAATAGTGTAAGGAAAGCATGTATCATTTTTACCAATACTCTAATTCGTTTCAGGTCGAATTTGGATGGTCGCAGCTGCTTGCGCTGCTGGCGCCACAGTTCCACTGCCTGGGTTATCTATTGCGGTAAATCTCGCCCTTTTAACGAACGAAACGCATCTTTACAAATCTCAGTTGGGTCTACCCGAGGAAAATTCAGACGAGTTCCGAAGAATGACTCCAGAAAACCAGGAAAAAGTCCGTAAATTTTGTGCGACGAGTGCGATTCAAATGGGAAGACTTCTGGCAGTTTACAATAAAACATCCGCAGTTGAAGAATTTACTCGATACATTCCGTTCGTAGGAAGCGCTATTGCTGGAAGCATTTCGTTCTCCTCTACGTATCACTTTCTCCATGATTGCTTAAACGAATTAGAAAGAGCAGCGTCGGATTTCTTGGATGAACTTACCACAATAGTTGTGGACGATATGGACTCCGACTAGTGTCAGTTGGAACTGAGAACATTTACTTTCATTTGCTTGTTTTTTTCTAACTTATGAATACTAATGAAAAATTAAGACTCTGTAGTCACTGATCGGAAAACTAGGAGTAGATACTGCGTCCGCTGTGTATAATTGAAGTCAATGGCGACCATATTGGTGACCACCACAAATGTTTGGAAAGGTTCTTTACTGTTCGTAGTTGTTACTGGCAAATGAGACATACTGTCTAGATCGAAACAAATTGGGGATCAGCAGCCTCACAAAAGTCTTAAGTTTGCCTGTAAATAACTAATGAGGTCACTCCAATATGGCTGCCACATTATCTAATAATCTAGTTCTAAAACTAATTAGAAAAGGCGTGGGAAACTCCATCTTTGAAGTTACATAGAAAAACGGAAAGTATGCTTTGAATTTTAGGTTAACCTAGGGTTAAGTTAACCCAGCTTTGAACAACTGGCCCCAGGCTTCAAACTGGCTCAATCCAGTTCTAGTTTTCAGATCAGGGACTCTAGCTTAAAATAGTATTAACAGGCCACCATACAGTGGACATTTGCAGTTAAAATTCAGTTTGTCTCATTTGAAAGAACTTTTAAAATTATATGTAAAATCATGTTGAATATTTTTGTGTTAAGCTTAACTCTTGAAATATTTCGACTGAAAGCAATGGAGCTGTCCGCCATCTTGGATTAATTCTCAGCAAGGTCTTGGTTACGTCCGTAGTGGAGTTCGCCTAACACCCACTAACACCACGGTCAAACGTCCGTGCGTACGTACTACTTGTCTTCAAAAGACTGGAAACAGTATTGTCTTCACGAAGCTCTAGCAAAAAGTTTAAACGAAATTACGAGTGAAAACTCAGTATAACTTCATCTTAACACAAAGAAAAAAGCGCTGATTTTCCCCCCGTATTTACTCTTATTATTTTTGACAGACATTTTCCCAGTCTTTTCCGTATACTCGCGCATGCGCTTCACGTTTGACCGCGGTGTTGGGTCGCATTAGTTATTTATTAACTGACCGTAAGCATAACCATGGATAATAAAATAAATGGATAGGACTCTCGCTGACGTAAGCAAAAACAACCTAGTTGCAATCTGTGACGTCACGCGTATTGCAAAGTTCTCTGCATTTTTGTTGTTTCGCTATATTTTCCGCCTTAAAAGAGCAATATTGAAGCATAAACCGGTCTAATTGTTTTAAAAACATGCCTATGCCACGACAAAGTATTCAAGGTAAATGTTTTTCGTCTTTGTTTTGTATATTTTTACATTTGTAGCTACGAAATTGGCGTCCCCAATTTTAACGAAATTTGGGATGCCTTTTTCACTGTTTAGTGCTTGAAATATTTGCTAAAATTGACTGGGAATACTTAGAGATTTCATCGTAGAATGGCGTAGTTATATTCATTTGCTCTTTGACTAAAATGTTTAGCTGTATTATTGCTAAACATGCCGTTTTTGAGAATTTGGTTTGCAACTAGGTTTCAGCATCCAATCACGCCATCAGCCCATTGAAAACATTAGGTCACGTCAGCTAGTTTCCTATCCATTTATTTTATTATCCATGGCATTCCATGGCATAACTAACCGAGTATATATTTCTAAGAAGTGTTAACGCTTGGAAGACTGGGGCAAACATCGAAACCGCTATAATAGCTACTACATGAAGTAAACGTCACGTGCGAACTTATTATTTTTTGTTTTTCAAGATTTTTTCAAATCGGAACGTTTTTCTGAAATAAAAATGGCTTATCGTCGTCTATAATAGGGTTCAAACAATTTAAAAACAACTTGTACACAGCAAAAAAGGTAAGGGAACTAAAAATACATTTATAAACCAAACTTTTAGCCTATATTAAAAGTAGTCGTTTTTGAACAAATATTTGTAAATTTAAAGTTTGTTCGTTCACGGCAACCAGGTATATCAATCATGTTTTCGCTCGCTACTCTGGTTTATATAAATGAATACAAAGCCCAGTCGAATTGTAATCAAGACCCAACGTTTCGACACTCTGATTACAATTCGACTGGGTTTTCTATTCATTTATATAAACCAGAAAAGCCAGCGAAAAAATGATAATTATTGGTAATTTATAAATGTAGTTTTGTGTCTTTTTAATAGTGGAACGATGTGGTATTTGAACAACACAATTAAAAATAACACGTAGCAGGAATTACTTTAATTTTTTACAAGTAATTCGTACATTATGAAGTTCAATATACTATGATTTATGAAGCTGAAATTTTAAATTATTTTACGCGCTAATTTTTTGCCTGCTGCTATATCTGATAAAAAAACCTGCTGCTCATGTTTTAAATAGTACAACAAACATCAATCACCTGTAGTCTATAAAACAGTCCCTGCAGTACAGGGGCCGGTTGTACGAAGATGGGTATAGCGCTATCCACCGGATAGTGACTTTTTCAACCTCTGTAAAATGCTTGAAAAACTGTGAAACTACGGATATAGACGAGACAAGAAGTATAAAAAAACAATTAACTTATAAATACTAAACTTTAATACGAGTTATACCAATCAACGACTGATTTTATAACAAAGATTGAAAAAATCACCATCCGGTGGATAGCGCTATCCCGCTTTCGTACAACCGGCCCCAGCTGGTATTGTAATAATGGATATATTTTTATCGCCCTTAAATCTCAGAAGAAACCAATAGTCCTAGTTCTATTGGCCTAGGTGACTAAAAATAAACTAAAAATACAAATATTATATCGTCTTGAAATTTCATTCATCGTACTTATATTTATAACAGAAACTCACGAACGATATGTATTAAAACATTTTATTTAAAAATTAAAAATAATTACTAAAAAAAATTAAAACAAATATTATAAATCCAAAACAATGCATGTTTTAAGTATACAAGGCATAAATTATACATTTGTTCAGTGGCATCCCTATTTTTCAGCTTTTCTTAAATGTGGGGAGGAAAAATTCATATAGCAGAATAGAATTGTCAAATTCTTAGTCAATTAAGATTTTATTGGCACAATAGATTTACGTATTTTAGGAGAAAAATGTCAAAAGAGATCTCATCAACCATCGATGATGCCAAACTGCAAACAGACGAAGAAATCAATCCAAACAACGAATTAGATCACAAAAAAGGTGAAAGCACTACCTCGCCAACTTTGGGAACAGAAACCGTTGACAAAACACCCATTTCATCAGCTGCAACCTTCAATGAATTGCATAAAAATGAGAACGAGGACCTTGCTGTCTTGGTAAATGAAAATTTTGAGACCACTGAACCAACAGAAGGCTTTAACGAAACTGAATGTGTTAAATTTGCTGAGAAGCTTTATAAGGTATACTTTGCTTTCTAACTATTGTTATACAAAGGTTATGGGCAGATCACTTAGGTACGGACCATTAGAAAAGTGCTTGGG